TAACTCCTTCTTTGTCTATTTCAGTTCTAGTAGTTGGCAATCCTTGGAGTTCTTGGACTTGGAGGAGATTCATCTACCTCTTCAGTCCATCATCAATCATCAAATCGTGTCTGTCTTCTCCTGTATGTGCTTTCGTATCATCTGGTGTAGCACTATAGGACGAATACTAGACTGTGGACCACAAGGTCAGTGATTCAAACCCACCGTCTTGGAAATCCTATATTGGGTAGAATGAGTCAGAATTAAGGAGTTTCGGTAGTGTACTGGTTACGAAGCGAGCTGCTAACCTCAGGGTCAGCAGTTCGAAATTGCCAGCTGTTCCGCGGGAGAAAGATGAGGCTTTCTGCTCCCATAAAGATTTACAGCCTCGGAAACCCTGTACAGGGTCGCTATGAGTCAGAACCGACTCCACGGCACATAACAACAACAGCATGTGTCAGAATTGACTCTACGTCACTTGAAAACAGTAGCAGTAACATCATATACGTAGTATGGGTGTGGCTTTGTAGGATAATCACTGGACTGCTAACTTAAAGGTCGGAGGTTCAAGCCCACCAGCTGCTCCTTGAAAAGTATATGTATGGTCAATATGAATCAAAATTGACTCGATGGCACTTAAAAACAGTCACACAATTTGTGGAGTTCTGGTGCAGAGCTGTAGGATAAGTACTCGACTGCTAACCTAAAAGTAGTCGGTTCAAACCCACCAGCCATTCCTCGGAAACCCTGTACAGAGTTTCTATGAATCAGCACTGGCTTGATGGCATTTGACAACAACACCACAATAATATCATATATGTGTGTGTGTGTGTGTGTGTAGAGAGAGAGAGAGAGAGAGAGAGAGAGAGAGAGAGTCCTGGTGTGGGGTTGTGGGATAAAGTACTAGAGTACAATGTCAGTTTGAACCACAGGGTCAGCAGTTCAAACTCATCAGCTGCACAGTCGCTATGAGTCAGAATCAACTCCACAACATATAACAATCACCTTTCCTAGATTCTAATGGCTGCTGGCAATCCTTGACATTCCTTTGAAGGAATTTAGTTTGAAGATGTTAAAGAATATAATTTAATTTTAACTTCTGTCCTTATTCTTCATCACTTTTATCAACAATAATTTTGTGAGTTTTCTTTAGATGAGCAACACAGCAATAGGTGTTACTCAGGAAAACAGTGAAAAACTGTTCTATCTCTGAATTTTTGGAATACTGAGTATCACAAACTGTGTCATAGTTATTTTTAAAATGTAGGAGGAGTAGAAAAATATTTTCCAAAGAAATCATTTTCTTGTTTTGTGTACTTTTTCAGTTAATTCTTACTGAAGTAAAACATTAATTTTCAACTAAGTCTCCTACCCTACATATGAGTGAATCTAAGAACAATTTGTTTTTTCAGAAATATACAAAATACTGAATTTATTATAGACAGAGAAAGGAACAGCAAAATAGGAGAAGAAAGAAAGATGAACAGAAGAAAAAATATGGTGTTCAAAATTGCAAAGTTGGAGCAAGATAGAGTCCCAAATAGAGCGCTACAGGAAAGAAAAAAAAAAAAAAAGTGCCAATATAAAATAGGAAATTGCTGGATGTACACAAAAGTATCACAGCAACTGATGTTTATACATTTGAAAATGATGATGATCTTCTTTTTACTTATAAAATAATATCTTGTCACTAATAGACTGTATTTTTAAATTATGGTATGCCTTTTTTTCTTGGGGAGTTTAAAATACTTTAAATAATTTGGACTCTGCCTGGTTCCCCTAGAATTGTAGAGTATGACTGATAACTGCCTTTAGAATCCCTAATAGCTAAATTACAATTATTATGCAAAGTCCTACAATAGACAGTTATATGGATTGTTAAATGACTTTGCCTTTTTTGCAAACTATAATCATTTTCCTTTATTAGCTGAAGGATTTCATAATTTAAGGAAGATGAGAAACCTATAAGTCACGCTTTCAAATAAGGAACATGGATATTGCAAACATTAAATTCCCCCATAAAAATGTTAAGGCATCATTAAACTAGGTTCAGATTAATACAATTCAGTCAACTCTAGATAGATATCTCCCATAATAAGCTGAAACAATACCTAGTGATCTAAGATGTAAAATATTTTACTACAGCCAATTTATAAACCTATAAAACATACAGGTATCATTCAACCCCCTTATTAATAGTGCATGCCTTGTATTAAATCAAAACCATTTTAAAGGCCCCTCCCCTTTTATATTCCCTTCCTCAGCTGTTGCCCCTCATTATGTGTTATTTCATTGAAGCTCATCCAAAGTGAATGACAACATCTTTTTTCACTAGAAGCAAGATAGGCAATTCCTGGTCTAATGTTACAGCTTAACTATCTCAGAGATTTATAGACACACTTTCTACCCTCAACCTAAAACATTCTATGGCTTAGTGTTGATGTATTTATTTCTCCATAGGTAGATGTACTTTTTGCTCACTTTGGAAAACTGCTATTTATTATTTTTCACTTTTTTGTAGGTTGTTTTACACATGAATGATATTCACAAGAAAACTAATGTTGGGTCAACTTTGAGTTACAGACACTTTTAAATCTGGTTGCAAGAATTCTTTTCTCACCCTTTTTACCCCAATATGAAAACCAAACATTTTGAACTGGCTGAAGTTGCTCAGGGTTTTAATGAATTACTTTTTCTGGTTACTTGTTTACAAAGGCTTAAAACAACAACTAAATTTATTAAGTTTGCCATTGTTAAGTGTCGTACAGTCAGTTCTGATTCATAGCAACCCTGTATAGGGTTTCTGAGGGGAGGCTACTGGGTTAGCCGCCAAGCATTTATCTTACAGCACCTCACCTGGACTCCTTATTATGCTTAATATCTGCAATCGGGACAGGATTCTTTTGGAAAAAATCATCTTGCTCCACTGAGCACAAGCTAGAGTAACCCAAAGTTGAAGAATGTAATCCAAACTTAAGATAGAATTCCATAGGTTAATTCATATATTTGTGATTGGGCATCACTAAGTCCAAGTATTATCTCCAGTCTGTTACCTCCAGGGAGGCTAGGATTTCCATGTTGTCTCATGACTCCCAGAGCAGATTTTCAAGAGAGAAACAGATTTTCAAGATGGGAACTCTAACTCCTATAACCTAACCTGTAAGTCACACACATCTCTCCCATCTATTTTAATTTGTTAAAAGAGAATAACTAAGGCTTGCGCCTCATCTAGGGATGGCATTAGACTCAAACTATCAGTGAGAGAAGTGTCAAAGAATGTGGATACATGCTTTAAACTGCTGCATCACCAAACCCACGTCATCAAAGAGACTCTGTCTCATGGTGACACCACATAGGGTTTCTGAGACTATAAATCTCTACAGGATCAGAGTCTCAGCTTTCTTCCAAGGAGCACCTGGTGGGTTTGAACCACTGACCTTGCAGTTAACAGCCCAATACCTAACCCACATCATCAAAGGGAGGAATTAATCCAGTATTTTAAAATGTCATTCTGAAAAATAATCCACTTTTCATTTCCAAAACTACAGAAGCTACAGTTAAAATGTAAAATTCATATTTGTATTATTATGTTCCATAGACTCCTTTATAACAAGGTATGTAATTCTAGATCAGCTTGATTAAAAAAAAAAAATCAAGGTACACTAAATAAAATTTTAAATATATGGAAATATAAATTGTGTATTTTACAGAGAAATTTAGAATTTTGACTCATGACAAATACATATGCTTGGTTAAGCCATTAATGTCTTTTAATATCACTTTAAAGGAGACCTTATTATATGGACAAATATACTATTTTTATTCAAAATCATCACAAAAAGACCTTTCTTTAACTGGGAAAAAATATTCAAAGAACAAGGACCAAATTTCTAAAACTGAGATGATCTAGAACACAATAAAAATAAAACAAGATACAAAATATATTAAAGTGTAACTTTAAATGGTTTAAACTTATGTATTTACTAAATAGTTTTTCCCTTTTTTGTTCCTCTAAAAGTACACATGTTTCTATATGAACTGGAATAAACTAATCTTTTCATTTATAAAGAACCTCAACGGCATAAACTAATTACTTTGTGATAATTGTTCTTGATAGTGTAGCAAAAAACAATAAAATATGAACTATGGCATCATCTAACCAACTATAAACTATGTACTCATGAACAAGGGATTTAACTTGTTAAAGCTTAAGTTTTATTAAAAGTAAAACAAAACTTACTGAAATACTATAAAAAATGTAAAACAATAAATGTATGCTCTTTTAATAAATAGATCAAGAACATTAATAAATTGGTAAATTAAGTCATCTAATGTGGCGCTGTAGGAAATCCTGGTGCGGTGCTGTGGGTTAATGCGCCAGACTGCAAAGCTGTTTGAACTGCAAGGTCGGCAGTTCAGGCTCATCAGCTGCTCATTGGAAACCCTATACAGGGTCACGATGGGTTGGAATCAACTAGACGGCATTTAACAAAAACAATGTGGCGCTGTAGGATCAGCACCAGACTTTGAACCATAAGGTTAGCAGTTCAAACCCACCAGCTGCTCTTCGGAAACGCTACGCATGTTTGCTATGAGTTGGAACCGACTCAGTGGCGTTTGACAACAAGAAGAATATATTAACTATGAATATAACTGTTTCGTTCAAAATAAATAAATAAAAGTAAACTGTAGCCTATAGAAAGGTAAAATTATATAACTATAGTTTCTTTGGCAAGGCAAACCAGATAATAATCCAACAATAGGTTATATTGAGTGTTATTTTGTATAATAACTATAAAACCAAATGTTAATCTAAGTGAAAAGACACACACACATACACAAAATAAAATAAAATAAATAATATCATTGAAAATTCAGTTGTGGAAAAATTCAAGCTTGATTATTTTACAACTCCAAGAGAATTTGTAATATATATAGGTATATTACACAGGGGTAGATTTAATTATTGTGTAAAGATCTAAAATCAATGACATAATAAATTCCCTAGGATCACATGTCTATTACACTGATTTCCTTCTCTTTCCAAATACATTATTGATTAATTTGACCATTGATTTTGATCCACTGGGTCTTCTTTTTTCTTTGAGTTTGAAGTTTGTCAGGACATCCTTGATAATTTTGATAAACATCACTTCTACTTCCAGAGACTGTTCTGCTGCAGACAGCTCACAGAATTGGCATCGGTTGTCCATTGCCAGCTTTTGCCCTTCTTCCCATCCAACCTCTCGCACATGGCAGAGATCTTGCTTGTTGCCAACCAAAACCACTGCTGACTCCACAGTTCTGAAATACATTCCATGGCAAGATGGGTTTAACATTTTTAAAAATTGTTTATGACTTTGGATCAAAAAAGTATAAACTTTCATGTGTGTATAGTTTGACAGTGTACTTGTTTATAGTCGTGTGTGTGTGCATAATGACATATGAGTATATTACCATTTATTTATACAAATTATTTTATATAGAATCTAATACATGACACAAAAGCAACAGGCCTTTCAGCATAGAATTTGAAGTAACACTAATGTATTCTTGAATCCTGTTTCTGTTTACAAACCAGGCATTACTATCTTTCTCACCTTGGATTTCTTTTTTTTATTATTGTTTTTTAGTGTCATTGAGTCAGTTACGATTCACAGTGACCCTAAGTAGGGTTTTCAGGACCAGTTGGTGGGTTTGAACCAATGACCTTGCAGTTAACAGTTCAGTGTGTCTATCCTACAGCTCCATATGAGGACTCCTAATAACACATATTATCTTTCTCATTTTCTGCTTCCTTGTGCATATAAAATAAAGGTAAAGTAATTGTCATCATACAGAATTCTCATGCAGCTAATTGAGATGGTGTTTATAAAAAATCCGTAGCATGATACCAGGTGATGAAAGATGATTACTCAGTAGTATTATTCATTTTTCTTATCAATCTGAACAAAAAGATGAAGAAACATCTCTATATTTATACCACTACTGAAATTGAACAGTCGATTTAGATCCTAAGGGAAAAATATTGTCCAAATTCATTGCTGTTTTTCGTTGCTATCCATTAAAACATACTGCAAAGTAAATTTTACAATCTCATGACCTTGTACAACTTTTCTATTTAAGAAAATTGTTTCTTTGTCTAGATAATGTCTTCAACAAATATATTCTCCTTTGTTATAGCAAGCTACTACTAAAACAAAACATTAGTTGGAGACTGTAGTAAGATCTGTTGTTGTTGTTAAGTGCTGTTGAATCAGTTCTGAGGCAGAGCAACTCTGTATAGGGTTTCTGAGGAGTGGCTGGTGAGCTTCAACTGCCAATCTTGTGGTTCAAAACGACTGTGCAGTCCAGCATATTAAGTCACAGTGCCACCAGCACTTATATATGACATGGAACTCTGATAAATTATTTATGATAAAGAAATGGGTAAATGCAGCCTTCAAGTCTAAAGAGATAGTCAAGATTTCATTAAAAGATCATTTTCTATTAGTTCACAAAATTATTATAAGGGATAAATTAAAATGATTTGAAGAGTGAGTCATAAATTGTTTTGTAATTTTACAAAAAATTTTTTGCTTTCCTAATCTAGCTAAGATTAATAAATAGAAATACTCTCAAAATTAGTCAATACATTTAGAAGACTGCAGGAACATTTTTTAAATATAAATTTATATTTCAATATCTTTCTAAGTGTTCTTAAGTGATTCTTTTCATTTGGGGGAATATAAATAGATTGTATTCTTGTCTCTAAGGGCAAAACTGTAGTTAAACAAACACAAAGGCTAATTTATATCAACATATTGAAGAAAAATAAATACTTTAAAAGAGAATAAATAAAACAATAAAAAGGATAAGGAAAACTAAAATCGAAAACTTTAGATGTTTAAGCTTATATCTAGAAATGTAACTATGATTCAAGGCACAGTTATTCATTCTTTCACAGTCATTAATACCAAGCCAATTAACAATGTAGAATTGTTTATGATCTCTTTATTTGGGGAGGTGAAGCAGGAAAAACAAAATGTATCCTCATACATAGTTTGATCATTCAGTGTGTATGGTGTCAATATATTGAATAACCCAATGACAAGGAATTGGATTTCACAGGATGCCAAATGTAATAAATCTGGAGTTATTTAGTACCCTTCACATTTCTGTGCAAATAAAAAGGAAAGATTGGAAATGAACTATCTTGTGTACAGAGGACCATTATTTTGCAAGTGAGTGTCATGTTAACAATCAGAGCTGTCTTGTAAAAATAGCCATTTACCAAGAGCAAGTTATTGTTTATGTCAGCTAGAATATAACGTATTCTCATCTTATTCTTTTTACTACATGTGTAACTCCTGTGGAATGGGAAGGTGAATTGTTCAGGGCTGTTAAATTTTGTAATTGGAAGACTGTATTAAACTCTTCCTAATGATGCTTACAACTATATGATGATTTACTAAAAGGAAAGAAGAGAGGAATGAAAAATATCGTACCTTTTACAATGACTAGTTTGTGGCTCCCGAATTCTGTAGATCAGTGCTTTTGCAAAAGCAAAAGAAGACCTGTCACTGATATCATACACAATGACAAATCCATCTGCCCAGTGTAGTTCACTTGTGAGAGAAAATTTTGCTTTCTGTGGCTGAAAATAAATCAAGAACATAGCGAATGGTATAGTCGGACACACCTGCATTTTACTTTCTAAATGGTTAATTAATAGAGACCCATTTTACCTGGAAGATATTTCAATTAAAAAATATGATCACAAAATATAGCATAGTACTGGTATTTTCTAAAAGGTAATTGTCTTTGTTTCTCTTTCTTCCTTAATTTTTGTTGTTGCTAAGTACCGTCAAGTTGGTTCAAATTCAGTTTCCAAGGAGCAGCTAGTGGGTTTGATCTTGTGGTTTGCATTCCAGTGTTTATCGTTTAGTGTCACACCATGAGTCCTCTTCCTTCATTTAAAGTGATTAGTTACCAGAGATTAAATTTTGAAATTTAAGAGAAACTATATTGCTGATCTCCTCAGGGTCAGCAGTTTGAAACTACCAGCTGTTCCGTGGGAGAAAGATGAGGCTTTCTGCTCCCGTAAAGATTTACAACCTCGGAAACCCAGTACAGGGTCACTATGAGTCAGAACTGACTCCACAACACGTAACAACAACAACAATATTGCTGATCTACCACTCATCTGTCAGTTTGTTATACTGTGGTGACTTGTGAGTTGCTGTGATTCTGAAAGCTGTGCCACCAGTATTTTAAATACCAGAAGGGTCACCCATGGTAGACAGGTTTCAGATGAGCTTCCAGATGAAGACAGGCTAGGAAGAAGGAGTGACGAACTACTTCCAAATATTTAGTCACTGAAAAACCTTATGAATAGCAGAGAAACACTGTCAGACATAGTGATGGAAAATGAGCCCCTCAGGTTGGAAGGCACTCACTCAAGCGTGGCAACAGTAGTGAGGTTGATCCAGGATCAGGCAGTGTTTCGTTCTGCTGTGCATAAGGTCATTGTGAGTCGGTACCGACTCGATGGCAACTAACAACAACAACAACAATATTGCTGATGTCCAATGGATCTTGGCTGAAAGCAGAGAATATCAGAAAAATGTTTACCTGTGCTTTGTTGATTACACAAAGGCTTTCGATTGTTTGGGTCATGACAAGCTATGGACAACATTGTGAAGTATGAATATTCCAAAACACTTAATTGTGCTCATGAAGAATCTGTACTTGGACCAAGAAGCAGTTGTTCGAACAGAACATGGGAACACTGAATGGTGTAAAATTAAGAAAGGTTTTTGTCTTTCACCGTACTTTTTCAACCTGTATGCTGAGCAAATAATCTGAGAAGATGCATTATAGGAAGAAAAACATGGCATCAGGATTGGAGGAAGACTCATTAACAACCTGCGATATGCAGATGATACAACCTTGCTTGATGAAAGTGAAGAGGACTTAAAACATTTACTGATGAAGATCAAAGAGCACAGCCTTCGGTATGGATTGCATCTCAATATAAAGAAAACAAAAATCCTCACCACTGGACCAATAAACAACATTCTTATCAGTGGAGAAAAGATTGAAGTTGTCAAGGACTTCATTCTTCTTGGATCAACTATCAACATCACAGAAGCAGCAGTCAAGAGATCCAACAACATATTACATTAGGCAAATCTGCTGCACAAGAGCTTTTTAAAGTGCTGAAGAGCAAAGATGTCGGCTTGAGGACTAAGGTGCACCTGACCCAAGCCATGGTATTTTCAATAACCTAGTATGCATACGAAAGCTGGACAGTGAATAAGGAAGACCATAGAAGAATTGATGCTTTTGAGTTATGGTGTTGGAGGAGAATATTGAAAGTGCCATGGGCTGCCAAAAGAACCAATAGATCCGTTTTGGAAGAAGTGCAGCCAGAGTGCTCCTTGGTGGCCAAGATGGCCAAACTTCATCTCTCATACTTTGGACATATTGTCAGGAGGGACAAGCTGCTGGAGAAGGAGATCATATTTGGTAAGGTGGAGGGTCAGAGAAAAAGAGGACGTCGCCCAATGAGATGGATTGGCTAAGTGGCAGCATCAATGGATTCAAGTGTGTCAATAGTAGTGAGGTTGGCCCAGGATTGGGCAGTATTTTGTTCTGCTGTTCATTGTCGCTATGGGCCAGTGCTGACTCAATGGCACCTAACAACAATAGCAAAATTGGAATCCTGGCGTGGTGCTGTAGGATAAGCACTAGATTGCAAGATCAGTGGTTCAAATCCACCAGCCGCTGCTTGGCAATCCTATACAGGGTCGCTATGAGTTGGAATAGACTCAACAGCACTAAATAACAACACAGTATAATTATATTTAATTCACTTTATGACATCTTTAACAAAATATGTCTACTTTTCAGAAAATATGATAATCGCTTTTTAAATTAATCTCCACATATTTGTTCTTCAAAAAGTATATTTCTTACCTATGTCAATAAATATCTGTTGATGTATGGTGACAGTGGTGATAGTAGTTGTGTGCTATGAGTCAGTTCCAACTCATAGCAACCCTGTGTAGGGTTTCCAAGACAGTAAATCCGTACTGGAGCAGAAAACCTCATGGTTCTCCCAATTATTGGCTGGTGAACTCCAACTGCTGACCTTGCAGTTAGCAACCCAAAGCATTACCCACTACATGACCAACGATCCTTTAATGTATGGTATTAGGTTTAAATCAGTAACAAAACCATTTGCAAGATTTAGCTGAAAATATTTTAGGGGTATTTACCTACCTGATAAAGATCTGGTCCATGGAGTTTTTTAAAAATCTCTTACGTATTAGTACTATATAAACTTTTAAAATTTTAGTAGGAAAGAAGTTTGAATTCAAAATCTGTCTTAGTATGCTCATATGGCAACTGACTAGTTAAAAACATAATAGTAAAAATATAAATTGAACTGATTAGCTCTTAAACTATTAACTTCTGATATCTGTACTGTGGCCGGATAGAAATATGAATACATTAGGACTTCAGTCTAATACTGATCTTTCCAGTATACTTATAATGTGATAATTTTTTAACATAATTTCACAGAGAAGATAGATAATGTAAGTTGTAACACTAAAGGTAATCTCTTAAGGTTTTAATAATTGAGCAGAAACTTTAGTTTTAAGACTGGCCATTTTTTTTCACTTACTCTCATCCAATCATCAAATCATGATTTAAAATGAGTAAATAAAGTTTTTTTTTTTTTTTTTTTTTTTTACTTACTTCAGAGCAAGGGTCATATATTTCCAGATTTAGTTGCTTCCCTTCCAAACACAAATGTTTATTGTAGATCGATTCTGCAAAAACATGCATATTAATTGTCAATATGGAAATACTCCAGAAGACAAAAATGCACTCATTTATAGATTCAGCCAGTTATATTTTAGTGAAGTAGTGAGGTGACTTTTGTTTTTTATTGTTGTTAAGTGCCATAGAATCAGTTCCAACTCATAGTGACCCTGTATAGGGTTTCTGAGGAGCAGCTGATGAGTTTAAACTACAGGGTGAGTGGTTCACCTTGAAGTCTAGCACTTATTCTAGAGTGCCACACGAAGCCTGTTCATATGTGCTCCTAGAATCTGTTTTACAAATGAATCCTACCACCATAACTAGCCACCTACATGTTTTTGTGTTCATATACTTATCTTTCATCCTTATTGTTGTTATGTGCCTTTGAGTCAGTTCTGACTCATAGCAACCCCTGTATAGGGTTTCTAAGGAACAGTTGCAGAGTTTGAACTACTGACTTTGCAGTTCATAGTGCAGTGCTGATCCTACAGCACCACACAAGGAATTTTTCTTCCATCTTTAATATAGATGAATTACATGTGCTTCTGTGTAAGCCCAGTTTATTCACTTTCTACTAATTACCATTTCCATTGACCTACTGGAAAACATGGTTCCAGCAATTCTGTCTCTTCTGCATCATGAAAGTTTTCTTCTTTACCCTATTATTCCCAGCAGTATTCAAACATGCTATATTTCTTCTAATCTAAAAATTCTTCATATCGCACCATATCTTAAAATCACTCACTGCACATCCCAAAATATTTTAAAGGTATTGTACTGCTGGTTTTAAAAGCAAAGTATCTACATACCTTGTGTCTGATTCGTCTTCTCCCATGCTCTTTAAATCATTCAAATTGAACTTTAGCCCTACTTCCCCTCCAGGAAGGTTCAGGCTGTGAATCTTAAAGTCAACGCAGTTGGAAACTACCAGCCGCTCTGTGGGAGAAAGATGAGGCTTTCTACTCCCGTAAAGATTTACAGCCTCGGAAACCCTGTACAGGGTCGCTATAGGTCAGAATTGACTCAACAGCACTTAACAACAACAACAACACCCCAGTAAGTAATTCTTACCGCTATTATTGCTACACTCAATGGTCAGTTTTGTGTGGGATCTTACTTGTCCTATTACCAGCATTAATGTAGCTAGTCACTCTTGCCTCTTTAAAATGTTTGCTTCACATATGACCTTCAAGAAACACATTCTTCTGGGTTTTCTTTTGCCACTCTTGCTCCATTTTAATCTTTCTTTCTTTGTTTGCCCCACCATATCTTCCTACATTTTAGCATGGGTCCAGTTTTTGCATCTCTTCTCTACCTACATCATTCCCTTGCTGATCTTATCCAGTGCAAAGACTATAAAACATTTTTGGTTGTCGAACCATTTATAAGCCAGATTTCTTCCCTTAACTCCAGACTCAATAGACTGCAATTGGATATCTTCATTTAGATATCTGATAGAGAACTCACTTGGTGTCCTGGTGTGGTGTGTGGAATAAATAACTGAACCGAAAGTTCAGTTTGAACCAAAATGTTGGTGATTCAAACTCCCCATCCACTTGTAATAACTGATCTTTCACAATGTTCTTGTCAATACATGGATTTTCCATCACTCCAGTTTGCCAGGTCAAAAACCTTGTCATTCATTATGCTTTATTTCTCTTATACCCCATATTGACTCTATTAAAGTTTATTTTTCCTACCTTCAAAATATGAAATGGAATGCATAAACATCGATATCTTAGGCATTAGTGGGTTAAAATGGACTGGTATTGGTCATTTTGAATCTGATAACCACATGGTTTACTATGCAGGGAAT